TGGCCTGCTTGCCCCCAACTGCCCCCCGTGCCAACCTGCTCACCCCTAACTGCCCCCCCCTGCCGGCTTGATCACCCCTAACTGCCTCTGCCTTGGCCCCACCACCATGGCTTTGTCCAGAAGGACATCCAGAAGGTCTCCCAGAAGGTGCCCCAGTCTAATTAACATATTACCCTTTTATTAGTATAGATTCTAAAATGTCCATTCTTTCAACTGTTCATCCATTCACCCATCCAACAATTACTAATAAACAACCACTTAAATCAAACACTGTTTTGAATACTTACAAACACTGATATTTGCTCTTCTGGCCTTTAGAAAAAGACTACCTCTTACCTATCCTGAATGTTAATATGGTGCATATTCTAGAATATAACTGCAAATGTACTAAACAGTCTATACTGAGAAAATTAATGACCAGCTAAGAAATTATTTTTCAAGTTGGGATTTTAATGCAGTGCTTCTAAACCAAACTAAACTGGAGAACTTAATGTCATTAGGAATATTCTGATAGATCACTGTCAGTAAATGTTTTTAGCATATAACTCAGAAGGAATAAAAATAATTGAACCACATTGCTATATTAACATTCTTTTTATTTCCAACTTAAGTGAACAAAATATTTTGGCTTTTACATATCTAAAAAAAAAAGAGAGAGAGAAAAAGAATTGAAGTTTGCTGCAACCTTTTGCAGTGATGATTCAGGATCTGGAGAAGGGGCCATGCACAAATGGATATACTAGACAAGAAATATATATTTAGAAGGCATGGGGGAACCAGGTGGAGACCTACTCTCTAGTGGAGTGGCTCCCTGAATGTCTAGACCCATAGCTTTTTATTTACTAGAATACACATTTGCCCTTTAGTAAAGCAAACAGACATCAATGGTAAGGTTTGGTAAACAATAAAGGATTATCAGGGTTAGGGGATTGCCTTCAGCCATTCAGCCAGCAGCAGGGTAATACAATGCTGATTCTCAGCCCTTGCTGAATATCAAGGAATAAAAATATCAAAGGTAAAGTTTTACCAGCCTTCTGATGGACTTCTCGCATTTATATGTTAACTACTTGTTGGTCTTTGCCTCCAGCAAAGTTAAATTCTGTCAAATTCTAGCAATAAAAAATATCCATCCATGCCAACTAAAGAAAAGTGATAAAAAGCCCAATCTCATTAAGAAATACATTTCAATAAAATACTACATCTTATAATAACTGAAAATTGTGATATTTATATTTTGATCAGCTGAATTGGCTTAACTTTTAGAATATTATGATCACAAGATATGCAATAAATTTAAATATACACACTGCTGTAGGAAAGAATGATAACCAATACGGCTTTCATTCCTAAAACCATACTACATAAGAGTAGAATTCTGTAAGTCAGGGTTTCTCAATAGTGCAGCAATGTTGACATTTTAGGCTGGTTGATTATTGTTGTTTTGCAATATCCCTGGACTCTTACCACTAGATGCCAGTAGCCCATACCCCAAACCCTTGTTAAGACCAAAATTACTCCAGATATTGCCAAATGTCAACCAGGAGGCAACAGTCCCTAACTAGGAACTACTGCTACAGGGGATAGAATAGCAATGCAATGTGAAACTTTGACTATCAAAGAGCTAGGTCACTTTTTAAAAAATAGATGATAGGTATCAAAATACTATAATATTTAATTCCATTCAACATTTAAGAGTGATAGATATTGTAAAAAGACATTTTATCATGCACTGGAAACTACATTATTCGCCTTTATTTAAACTTTTTGGGAAACAAATTTGGATGTTAGCTTATAATCTACTAGCCAATAGCCAAAAGTATTCTGTAGTTTATAGGATAGGTGGGTAGTGTACATTAACATTAACTTACTGACCTTTTTCCAAACCCTAATGAAGTACTTTAGAATAATCTTGCCAGAGGCTAAAACCAACAGTAATTAGCATATTATGCAAAAAGACCCATTGGAAGGCCAATGGACTTTGATATTCAGCAGGGCTGAAAATCAGCATAATATTGCCCTGCAGTGGGCTCAATGGCTGAAGGCAATTCCCTAACCTGATAATCCTTTTACTGTTTACCAAACTTTACCTTTGATATGCCTGTATGCATTCCTAAAGGGCAAATGTGTATTCAAGTGAATAAAAGCTGACAGGTCCAGGGTTTCAGTGAGCTTCTCCACTAGAGAGAGGTTTCCACCTGGGCCCCCATGCCTTCTAAATCCATATTTCTTGTCTAGTGTTTTCATTTGTGTGCAGCCCCTTCTTCAGATCCTGAACCCTAGCCATAAATGGATGCAGCAAATCTGAGTTTATCTCATATAGCTCTATGCCTACCCCCCACCCCACTTGGGAATGCATTAAGCTCCTGAAGATTATCTTTCTTGATAAGTTTAGAAAATCTAACTGAAAAGAATATCAGGGCTTTTATATAAATGTAAAATATTTAGATAAAAAAAGCAAATGTTTTTCAAAACTCAGTATGTATAGGCTAATAACCTTTTTTACTTCCATTTTTCAAATGTTGCCTATACAATTGCAAGGATTTGGAAGTTGAGAATAGTTTAAGAACTCCAAAGATTTTTTCCATACACAGAAACAGTGCCACCCTTAATCCTGCTACTAACAATCTAAATAGCCCCTCACTATGTCCCAATTATCGCAGCTTAATCAGTTTACTGGCAAGTATGCTAATGGACCAATCATTCGAACTATAAATATAAAAATGTATGTAGTGCTTTTATTGTTTTAAAGCATTTCTACATAAATTATCTCATATTAATTGAACACATCTATAGGACAGGTACAAAAGATGCTAAAGATAAGAAGTCTACTGTTTAGTAATAAACTTGCCAACCTTTCAACAGCATCAGCCCTGACATTTCCAGACCAATCATATTAAACTCTATTGTTATAAAAATTCTCATTTGAGATTCTACTCAGACTTTACATTGTATGGAGTTTTGGGATGCTTGAAGGCAAGAAACCAAATTACTGCCAAAGGTGGACGTCCTTAGTTGTAGCAGCGAAATTTAAGTCATTTTGACGACTAAATCTTCCAATTTGTCTGTATTTAATGCAATAGCATTTAAAAATCACTTCTATATTGAATATATTAAATTGTCCAAAGCTTTCTTTCAAAGTTTGAGTTCTTATATCCTGAAGGACAAAATATTAACTTCAACAGGACTTCTCATGACAATGGCTCGTTTACAAACAGCTGTAGAGAAAAGTGAATTTGACAGTGTTTCTCATTAGGCCCCTGTAGAGCTGGTCTGTACATGCCAATTACTAGGGTCTCCTAAAAAATATTGTTCAATCTCTAAAATTAACTCAATTAAGACCCAGGTATTTAATACCGTATCAGAAACCACCTATCCTTCAGACTAACAACTCCTCATTCTAACGCTAAAATTGAAAATCATTATTATTCACAGCTACTGGTAGAGTCCTGGTCCTCTAAAATTTATACCAAAACAAGGCGCTGTAGTTCATTCCCGAGTTATTTTTGCAGTGCTGGCGTCAACTAGAGGCAACCCGCCCGCGAGGAGCGCCAGGAGGCCCCCAGTCCCCCCGTCCCCATGGTTACCGCCACAGCAAGTCCCTGCCTGCGGGGACCACGTGGGGTGCCCTCCCTCCCGCTCCTCAGGGACCGGAGGGGCGGCTCCGGGGCGGTCTCTGCGCCCAGTAGGAAATGGCTTCAGGGCCAGTCTGGGAAAGCAGATGGGGAGCAAAGCAAACCTGCCAATAGCTCATCCCGGCTTCTCCACAGCGTTTAGGGTAGGACTCACGTGGACACCAGGCCAGGGGAGTTCCCTGTTCCTCCTACAGTCCCTTTAACACGGGACTTTCAATTTTGCGTGTCCACTCAGGAAAACTTAAGATGCCTTTACCGAAATAACACGCCAAAGACGAAATCCCCAAGTCCCCACAACCCATGCCTTTCCCGTTTTCTCCAGCAGGGGGTCCTCAAACTACGGCCCGCGGGCCACATGCAAATACAAATATTGTATTTGTTCCCGTTTTGTTTTTTTACTTCAAAATAAGATATGTGCAGTGTGCATAGGAATTTGTTCAGTTTTCTTTTAAAATTTTGTCCGGCCCTCCAACAGTCTGAGGGACAGTGAACTGGCCCCCTGTTTAAAAAGTTTGAGGACCCCTGCTCCAGAGGCTAGTACCCCTAGCCAGAGGCAAACAGGCTGGGGAGGAAAAGAGCTCCTGCAAGGCGCGCCCCCAACCCGCTCCATGACGCACCCACACCCAAATGAGGGCGGGGGAGGGGCACGATGCCCCACCCACTCCGCCCCGCCCCACGCGCGCCCTCAGCGACAGGGAGGTGCATTAGGTTTTCGCAATTCA